ACTCCAGTTATCTATACTGCATGTATACAATACGACAAAATATGATCTCAAACATCACTGCCTCTTTTCGTTTTCATTTAAACATATTAATAGCCACAAAAATGTAGTTCAGGTACGTACATACATTACAGTGAAACTAAATATTATATCAAACAGCATTGCCTCTTTTCTGTTTCGTTTAAAATATTAATAGGCGCACAAAAATGTGGTTCATGCAACAAATACACGCATTACAATAAAACGAAATTATATCAAGCACCACTGCCTTGTCGTTTTCTTCAAAATATAATTTTCATTCGTTTTCATTTAAAAAATATAAAACATATTAATATGCGGTTTAGGTAATATGTGCACATATACTCTGATTATCTTCACTTTATAGCCTATAATAAAATGAAATATGACAAGCACAACTCTATAAGAGACTTATGTAATAGGAAATAAAGAAAAAAGCAAACAATTCGGTCAAATGTATGCAACAAAGTCAGCGTTGTATTACGATTAATAAATAAATAATTTATTAAACATAACTTTGTGCTCAGCCAAAACGATATGACCTGGAAGAAATAATAGATTCATGAGACCAAAGATTGCCTGTTAGATTTACCTAAACTAATTTTACCTCATGTTTAACCACTACAGAAACATCAGAGCCAGCGGTAAATGTCAGAAGAACTAGCTGAGGTGAGGCTGCTCTCGGCGGACACATGAGCACTGAACACCCGGTGATCGCGTGGAGCTACGTCTCCATAATCGGCGAAGCAAATTTTCAAATAGGCGCTATCTTTATAAATAAACCGCAGATTTAAGTTTTAAACAACTACATTCTCGCCTGAAATATTCTTAGAACTGCATTTCATGACACAATAACAGTAATATTTTGACAATTATGCAGGTTTTCTCCTACGCCATTAACGCTCGCTGGTTGGTACGAAATGCATTCTGGGATACCTGGCTGCCTCAAGTTCGCACAAGTCACCTCTGGATGCATCCTTGATAAAAGGGGCGGAGCAAGAACACATCCGGGGATTTGAACTGTACTTGGCTAGATGTGAACTTTGAATTGGAACAGTACTTGGGCAACGACCGATGACGTTTCACAAGTCCACAAGAACACAAGTACAGAGAAGAACGCATATTGAGAAACGGCTAGAGGGTGGATGGATGAATTTCAGTGTGTCAGTCACAAAGTTTTAGTGAGCAATTTAGTGTCCAGTAACATATTCAATCACATTTTTCTCTGTCATAGTGAAAGATTACAAAAATGTTTACTTTTAAGGGTTATGTAGAAAAGTGACTTGAGATCTGCAAAAGATAATAAACAGTAAAAAAATCCCTCTTCACTGTAAACCTTAAAGGGGTCATGATCTGCCTTTTTTATTACTTTGTACTGTTCTCTGATGTCCACTTACAATGTTATCAAGATATTTACATAAAAAAACATCAGAATTTAAGTAATAGGCTATTTTCTGTTCTGTTTTTAACCCCCTTCATCAGAATGCTCTGTTTGCATAGGCTCGGCAGATTGTAGATTCTGAAGTAAACGCCCACTGCTATTATTGGCTTACTGTTGTGTATGTTTGACAGCCTACATCCTTCATAGATGGATGCTGCTGTGATTTAGGTTAAAATGCATAACTACTCAGTACATATCAAACGATCTGTAATAACAGACAAAGCAATAGTGACCACGAAATAAAAACAGTTACTCCCACGTGTGTGTTGCGACATTGAATCCAATATAGTCAGCATTGCATCATCTTTTAGTTTCAATCTTTCGGGAAAAACTTTGTTTGTAAACGAGTCCGCGGTAAAATGAAGTGAACAAAGGACCAAGTTCTTATTGACGCAGTCTGGAACTTCATTAAAAATAAAGTTCATCCACTCTTTCCTAATGTTGGGATCAGAAGGAAGGCAATGCAAAGACTGTGTTTTTCCACAACTTGGCACTGCACAGCATCTGGTTGTCTTTGGAGTCATCTATCGTTTGAAATCTCTTGTTATTTACGTGCACAAACTGGTGGGCGGGGCTAAACAGGCAGCAATGTCGAAGCAAGCATTGATCTTCTTCTGCGGAGGTGGAGTTTAGCCACACTATTACATTAAAAAGTGGCACATTCCACAAGCTGTCGTTTTGGCAGATTGGCTTCAATATAAGCTGTTTTTAGACTAACAAGAAAGCTTTGAGTTCTGAAACTTACAGTATGTTTTAATAGTAAAATGACCTCTTATATTTCAAATGACCTCTTATAATTGAAATTTTGATATCTCAGTTCATGACCCCTTAAAATTCTGTCATCATTTACTCACCCCTCATGTTGTTCCAAAAACCATGAAGCACAAAAGGAATTTGTGAAGAATAGCCTGAACATTCTTTTCATAATAAGGAAAATGAATGAAGACTATGGCTATCAAGCTTTAAAATAACAAAACACCATAAAAGTTTCATAAAAAGTCCAAATTGAATTCATTATTCACTTAGATAATATTTCCATATTGATGAGCTTTTATTACAGAAGTAGCCATGTCCAATTTGTGATTGAAACATTCGTTTGAGTCAAATCTTCTCAATGATTTGGTTGACTCAGTTAAAAACAGATTTGAACTGATCTGGTTCTCAGTCAATGGTCTGATTCCAGTGATGTGACATTTTTTGTTATTAAAGCTCTGTTACGGTTTCAGAAGACTTCAGCATTTGAAAACATCAGTATAATTCAATCATGTGATATGAACTATAGATCAGCTCATTCCTGTCAAGAGCTGCCTAGACAATCCATGCAATCTCAAAGAACAAACTAATGACACACTCAAGAAATACTAACACACACTCTCTCTCTCTCTGTCACACTTGCATGATTAAAGAGTGTACATCAGCTGTGTTAATGCAAGGGGAGGGTGTGTAATGAGCTGCCTGGCTCACTTATTTGTTCATTTGTTAATGAACATTCGCCCTCCTCTGTAATGAAAAACAGATGTGAGTGTGTGTGTTTGATTCGACGGGACAGTTCATGTTGAACTGTGAAAGCAGTTAAAGTTTGCTGGGTGAACAAACGCCCACCCTGTGACCTCACACATTGATACATCTGGACGTGTCTGTGTCCTATGTGTGGTGTCAGAGCATCTAGGATGTGTGTCTGTGTGTGTGTGTGCATGTGTTCTGTAGGACAGTCTCTGTCAGCTCCGTTCCATGTTCTTGTCACCCTGGAGCCAAATCTGTCCCCAGATCAGCAAAGACTGTCACACTGCATATCTGTACATCACCGCCATCTCACACACAAGACTCTTACACTAATAATAATAGCTGGGGTACTAGAAAACTGTAGCTGGGTAGATGACAAATACTGAGAAGCTTTGATCTTTTTTTATTAACATCGGCACCTGGAAGTGTGCACGAACTTTAAATGACAGTGCTATTTAAATTATTATTTAAAGAGATAAATGACAGAAATGATTTGTTTGCTCAAATTTAAGCATTTTTAGTTCAAGGAAGTTCACCCAACAATGAAAATTCTGCCATAGTTTACTAACCCTCATGCCAATCAAAACCTGTATGCTCTTATTTTTTTCTGCAGTACACAAAAGAGTATTTTAAAGAATCTTCACACAGATCTTTTTGTTACATAGTGACCTCTCAAGAAAAACAAAACAAAACCAAAAACACTATAAATATAACCAGTCATTGAGTCAGTGAGCAAAACTCTAGAACCAAATCAGTTCGATTTGTGAATGAATAGTTCTTTTGAGTCAGTTGATCCAGTTCATAGGCTGAACAATTCATTCATGTATCAAACTGATTAGCTCTTGAGTTAATAGTTTATTGGAGAGAAGGATTATCAGACTGAAATAATGACTTTCTTTTTCTCACACAAAACTTCAAGAAGTGACCGAGTAGATAGTAGAGCGTGAATCATATGCACCACAGACAGACATGGTCACTACAAACTGTTGTACAGACAAAAATAACAGCATACAGGTTTGGAAAAACATGAGGGTGAGTACATGACGACAGAACTTTTATATGTGAACTATCCCTTTAATATATCTTGGCAAGGGCAATGTTTCTTGTGTTCATGAGACAGATATGAATGTAGAGTAATGGCAGCTCATAATTCTTATCTGAAGGTATTTAGGAGGGGATTCACACACACACACACACACACCTAGAGTCCATACATGCGTAATTAGATTTTCTCCTGTGTGCAAAGCCATTACAGGCCGGCTAAATCAGTTTAAAAGAGACAATCACTCGCCTTTATTGAATCTTCTTCTTTCTGTCCTGTGCTTTCACTCATTTACAATTCACTTTTTTATTATCGTCATATCTGTCTCTCTGTTTTGGAGCTGGTAACTTATGAAATAACATTTTTCATACTGTTTTCTTTTTTAGTATGTTTAATAATGTAATTACTTCTATGATGGCAAAGCTGAATTTTCAGCAGCCTAGTTTTCAGTGTCACATGATTCTTCAGAAATCATTCTAATATGCTGGTTTGGTGCTCAAGAAGCATTTCTTCTTATTATCAATGTTGAAAAAACTTGTGCAGCATAACATTTTTGTGGAAACTGCAATGCATTTTTCCAGGATTTTCGATGAATAGAAAGTTAAAAAAATATCATTAATTTGAAACAAAAAAACATTTGTAACATGTCTTTACTGTCACTTACTAACTCCAATATTTATATCCATCTATAGAAATAAAAAATGTTCTTCTGGGATACTGGGATTCTTTCATTTACTTACTAGTTTATTTTTTTTCTATTTGCATGAATAAATGATACTCTTTAATTAAATAAATGCAATTAAATAAATTTGCAATTAAAACAAATTTAATATATATTTTTACATTTAAGTATTTTAAATATTTAATTTAGTCTTACATTTTTGAACATAATTTTATATACTGTATATAATTAACTTTTTGTGATTTATTTAAATTGTTCTGTTCTTCTGTGTCATTTAATCCAAAGTTTCTTTCTGCCTTTCTTTATCTTTCCTACAGCTCTCCTCTACGCCACCATCTTCGGTAACGTGACAACTATCTTCCAGCAGATGTATGCGAACACAAACCGCTACCATGAGATGCTGAACAGCGTGAGGGACTTCCTCAAGCTGTACCAGGTGCCCAAAGGCCTGAGCGAGAGGGTTATGGATTATATCGCCTCCACGTGGTCCATGTCCCATGGTATTGACACCGAAAAGGTGAACACCCTGTATGTCCAACTCCCATTACCCAGTATGCAACTCTGGACACCCTTGTGTGTGTGTGTGTGTGTGTGGTTATTCACTCTTGCTCTGAAATGTTTGTGTGAGTGTGTCTGGCTAAGTATTTTTAAACATTAGTGTGATTTTTTAGCAAGATGCTTTCTCACGCTGTGTGTTTAGACTCGTCCTGTCGTTTATACGCAAACCGCAGGAGGGGAACAGCATGACTCTGTGGATATGAAGTCCCCGTTGGGCGGACATTGTCAGAATGTTCCAGCTGTCTCCTTCTCTCTCTCTCTTTCACTCTCGTGATTTAACCGTCTCATCACACAAGCTCACACTGTTCTCCCCAGAACCAACTTCCATGTCTCCGTGACAACCACATGCAGAAAGGGAGATGCTCTGGAAAAGTGAGGGGCTGCTGGGAATGGCAGCTCGGGGACATGTCACACGCTAATGCGCTTAGATGCACACATGCACACCGGCACACGAGTCCTGTACCTCTGTCTCTCTGTGTCGGCCTCCCAGTATGCTTCACTGGCATGACAGTAAACAGAAATTTGTATGGTGTTAGACAGGAGTTATAAAAAAGAAAAATGCTAATTTTTAATAATAGAAAATAATAATAATTGGGGCTGTCAATGCTAATTTAGTACAATTAATATAGCTAACTTAGTACAATTAATTAATTAGTATTATTAAAATAAAGAATCTAATCATTGCCTGGCTACTAAAAATAATCCAAAATAAGGGATTTTCCATCAAAGCAATTCATTTAAAACAGCTGAAAGTTGAAGTTGAACTTGAATCTAACCATTTCAATCATGAGAACTCACTTATATTTTAGTACGTTAATGGATATGACAATGTTTACGGATTTGCAACTGCTAATAGATAAACAGACATGCTGCTGCAAGTGTGTAACATTTGCAGCTATTGCTTGATAGGCATACATAAATCCCATAGTAGATCTAGACAGGTGGAGCTGGGGGAGGTGGAGGGATTCAGAGGAATTCTGACAGGACCATCATACTGCGAACACTGAACTAGGCTACTTAAAGGTTGAGCAGTCTCATTGGCTGCAGACTCAGCAGAGGCCAATCAGCTTGTGCCATGTAGTAAAGGATGTGATTGATAGCAGATTGCATGTAAAAGACTTAGCCTGTCTAGAGTTTCATGACTTAACTAGGTTCTAATTTTGACATTCTAACAGATTTGATTGAATTTTATGTATGCAGCCAGGAAATTGTAGTCACACTTTAGTATAGGGGCCAATTCTCACTATTAACTAGTTGCTTATTAGCATGCCTATTAATAACATATTAGCTGTTTATTGGTACATATAAAGGCCAATTCACACCGCAAAGACAAACGCCAACAAACAAGTTGGCTCAAGTTGGCTGTTGGATTTAGAATTTTATGAAAAATAACTGTCATGTTCACACTGCCCCAACAAACACAGACAAACTTTGAGTCAAAGAGAGTCAAGTAACACTGTCTACACCGGAGGCAACAGTTGTCACATCGCGCCGCATCCAGTGTAGACAGCGTCAGTGATTATAATCAATAGAACCTCATTGTATTTTGCCGTGTCGCTTCGCTCGCGTCCGGTGTCGATAGTATAATACCAGGGAAGTCTGACGGGGGAAGAAATGGATGATCCTGTAGCCACAATAAAAATTGTACTGTTATTAATGTCTTTGCGTGTCATTCTTCGCCTGAAAGACAGCGAATAAAACGAAAGAGGCCATGGTTGAAGCTTGCTTTGAGTGAAATATGTGCATCATCATGTCAACGGCTCGTGGCCACATCAGATTATGTTGTTTACGACGAGAGTTTGTTGTCGTTTTTTGGAAAATCATTTCACACTGCTCAGACATTCCACGACCCAACAAACGCCGATTAAGCATGTTCAGTCGGGTGAAAACATACTCCAACCAACGCCAACAAACGGCAACAGAGGTAACACACTGATCCAACAAACTCTGACAGACTAGTCTATTGGCGTTTGTCGGTGTGGTGTAAATTGGCCTTAAAGCACATATTCTGCATGACCATATTCTACATCCCTAATTCTACCCAATACCTAAACTTAATAACTACCTTACTATTAATAATAATAATACAAATTATGAGTTTATTTAGGCAAAAGTCATAGTTAATGGTTTGTTAATAGCAAGAATTAGACCTTAAAATATAGTGTGACTGAAATTGCTAAATTAGATATTGAAGTGAGGCTGTTGTTTAGTGTTTATAATCTAGTCTCTTGCTTGTTGCCATTTGTATGTATGAAATTTACAGTATGTTTCCATAGTACATCAAGCTCTTTTATCTCAAAAGATCAAGGAAAATGTGGTCATGACATGACCCCTTTAAATCAAATGAAGTTGCAGCAGAATTACCACTTATATCTGTTATTTCTCTCTCCCATTACAGGTTTTGCAGATCTGTCCTAAAGACATGCGTGCTGATATATGTGTGCACCTGAACAGGAAGGTTTTCAAGGAACATCCTGCTTTCCGTTTAGCCAGTGACGGCTGTTTGCGGGCTTTGGCCATGGAGTTCCAGACCATCCACTGCGCTCCAGGCGATCTTATCTACCATGCGGGCGAGAGCGTGGACAGCCTCTGTTTTGTGGTGTCAGGGTCACTGGAGGTCATCCAAGACGATGAGGTGGTCGCCATTCTGGGTAAGAGGAAAACAGAGACAGAGAAATAGATCTGGATCTGAATTAATGAGTATTGACTAGGTATGGATCATGATGGCTGAGTTGCTGTCCAACAGCTGACTAGATTAGTGAGGTCAAATAGTTTTTTATTTGCTACATTTTTAACAGTGGTGCAAGCTGTTCGACAGTTTATCCACTAAGAATTTGGACTTCTTGATTTTGAACAGCTCTAATTTTGACACCACAGGGCTTAATTCTGCTTCAGCTGTTACTGTATTCAAAACGAATTTCCTCTACAGACTCACTGACATGAAGACAGCATCCCTCTGTCTTGGGTTTAGTTCCCAATGGGAGGATTATGTGCACCCACAGAGCTTCTATGTGATCATATATCTTGACTGACATATAGGCTGTCACACCCACTCCTCCGCACTGTGCTATCCCTCTCCCTTTTGTTTATTCCCACATCCCGCACCCTGTATCCTCTTTGATCAATGTGTCCAACTCTTTCTCTTCCTCTGTGCGTAAAACATTCAGAGAACAATAATAAAATAAAAAGTGAAGAGGAAAAAGTTGAAATTTTGAGCATAAAACATGTTAAATTATGCAAAATATGGCCTAAGCTGATGATAAAAAGTAACAATAAAATGATATTTGAAAAGTAATTTTACTAAAGTATGATATAAGACGTTTTTAAGATCTTCTCTAAGTATGAGTTCATCCTTTTCTGGCAATAATTGAGTTAGAAGCCTTCCAGCTTGCTTGCTGTAGACATCTTTTATATTATGTTAAAAAAATCTCTGCAGAACATTGAACTATGAAAGTTTATACCACAGCATTAAGTGCCTATTTTTTTTTTTATTATATTTTCTTAGTGAAACAGATAAAAATGTCATAATGCTATAAATGATGTAATATTCTCTTGTGTTGGCTGCATATTGTCTCATTCATTAATTCAAATGAAAACCTTCCCCTAAGAATACCAATTTTAATATTACAGCAAAAAACAATAGCAAATATTATTTATTTATTATATAGAAAAAACTACATAAGAAATAGTTGCAAATACTACAATAATGAAATTAGATGTGTAGTATTTATTAGTTTTTCCTGAGACATAATTATTCCAGTAAATAGTCTTTAATAAAGAATGAATGAATGAATGAATGAAATACACGAATGGGTGAATGAATGAATGAATGAATGTGGATTGAGTGGCTTTATCTTTTTCTTACCCATATAATTATTTAATTTACATTAATGATATATTATACTGTATACTGTGAGCCCTAATGCATATATCTCATATTTTGATACATTTCTGATTTCATTGTCCTGCCTGCTGTTACTGTTTATACGAGTATTATTTCATTATTTTTTTCAGTATCGACCAGACATCCCTAAAAAAAAAAATAAGGCAAACATTGATCTTAGGTCAGACATATGCGACTCATGTATGTATACAGCCCATGATGTACTGTAGCATCTGTCATTTCTAACATCTGTCTGTCTCACAACTCAAAAAAGATTAGGCTGCTTCGCCTCGTGAAGCCACAGAGCTGAGCATCTAATGGCCTATTTTTCTCTGTTGACAAACTAACGATGCTTTGCTAAATTTGGCTCTCTGCCACGGCTGTTAAACTGATTTAGGATCAGTCTGAAAGGCCACAAATGTTCTCTCTTGCTTCTAAAATTAGAACACACACACACACACACACACACACAGGTCAGACTATGAAGACAGAATAAAAAGGTTTATCGATCTGACCACTTGTATCTTGAGTGGGTGGATTGAGCGAAACTTTGGGTCAGAGGTCAGTACGCAGTGCCCTGTAGATCTATAATGACACTGCTGCTCTACTACACATATTATGGACTCTCTCTTTTCATTTACTCTCACTTAAAAGTACAACGAACAGAATACAGTGACAGTGCCCTTGTTTTGGGTGTTTATTACTCCTTAAAAATCAGTTTAAACTACAACTACAAAACTGATACTGAGCTCAGCCCAAGACAATCAATCATTCATTGAAACTGTGAGGTGCTAAAATATCTCTCTCCGTTTGCAGAATCTGTATTCTAAAAAAATTTACTGAGACGCAGAAGAACCATAAATAATTTATCTGAGTGGACATTTTGGCTCTGTAACCCTCTTCATCCTAGATGTGAGCAGATGGAGATGGATGGACAAGACTTTTGTGCATTTGTTGATATCAGTAATGGATTGAGGGAATATGTCTCTTCATCATCATTTTTCATCTGTCAGACACGCTTATGATACAGTATGTAGAGTTATACCCTAAGTGAGTTAACCAGTCATAACCCTATTGTAATTGCTAGAATGGTCACGGATGAGCGATTTCCACGTAAAACTGATTTGTGCAGACCAAACCGTAAGTCGTAGAGACTTGAAACATGGAGGTATGGTAGTACTCACACCGCCTACAATGTGACCGAGGCTCGCCCCAATCGGCCTGTATTTAGCATTTTTTGCAAAACGTACTTTTGTGAACTAGTCCTAGGTTTTTCGCCCGATCAGAACCAAACCAGTGCAGAAAGATTCTCTGGAGAGTGAATATCAATAATTATCAAAAAAGTTGAACTTTCGACTCACCGTGGCAAAGGGACGCCAAAACATTCGAAGGGGGCAGGGCCACTTTTAGTAAAATGCCTATAACTCCTGAACGGAATGAGATAGCTTCGCCAAATGCAGAACACTTATGTCACACTTATGACTTAGGTCACAGGAAAAAATTGCGGAGATTGGCGCTATAAGAGGGAAAAAACTAAATGGCCCCAAAGGTCTGTGAGAAACTTGAAATAAATCGGCCACTGGGGGGCGGTATCGCATTTTTTGAGGGCATAAACTATTGTACATTGAGCGGTTTTCCGCACATACACACGATATTCGTATTGAATGATAGACCTCCTCGTTCCGAACAACTTTGCCTCTAGAACCACTGCTGTCAATCAAACCGTTTTGTAAATGATTGAGAAGATGTGAAAACCTACTTTTGTGAACTAGTCCAAGGTTTTGCGCTCAGTCTGGAAAAAAACACTGCAGTGCAATTCTCAGGACTCTCTAGGCCAATAATGATCAAAAACATGTTGAAATTTACCCTTTGGGAAGCTATAACGGGGTCCTTTAGAAAAGGGGCCTGTCCAAATATACCCAAAAGCCTGTAAAGCCTAAACGAAAACTCAAAACTTAACGAAACCCGCTGAGCACATGCGACAGGTGATTCTAAACAAGCATGCAAGTTTCAGAGAGATCGGACCACAGCTGGCGCTATAACAGTCATAAACGTCTAAAAACATCCTATTTCTATGGTAAATCACCTGGATTTGCCAAAAATGCTTTTTTAATAATTGATTTAGGTGGTTACAGGCTTGCTAAATAATATGTAATGTCTTTTTCCTTTTGCGCTTAAATGCCTAAAGCGCTTGAACCCCGGTAATCGCTGCTGGCAGCTATATTGAAAATGTTTTTGCCAGGATATTACTGTGAATAAATTTTTAACAGTTCTTTCAACTGCTTGAATCTTCTGATCTGACATGTGTTAGTGGTGTTTTACACAAGTTGAATTTCACACCAATAAAATCAGTACACATGATCTGTCTACTGTAATCTGAGACAGAGAGGAAAGACAAAACAGAGAGATCATTTGCAGTATTTTTTGCTGCAAAATGTAGCAAAAAAAATCTAGCATGAGTGTTAGAAAATAAGACATAAATTAATATAACATAATTTATTCTTGAAACAACTGAAAATGGAATTATATTAATTGAAAACAAGTCATAATACACTCTCATGCTCGCTAAGGCTGCATCAAAAATAAAGTAAAAACAGTAATACTGTGAAATAATACTAGAATATAAAATAACTGTTTTCTATTGTGTGACGATGAGATGCATGAGACCTGGTCTGTGATATACAGTTATTACATGATTTACATCTATTATTTCCGCCCTCGGACAATAACACAGTTTGTATTTCAAAAAGTTTAATTGTCTTTAGCATTCGTCATGTTGTTTCAGTAAGATGGCATTAACTGGGGTATGAAGACGCTGTGGGGTATCTTCGGTGATAGGTCCACATATCAATGAACATCACAACACGCTTCATTTACCAGTTCGTTTTCATTAAATAAGGACATAACACATTTGTTTTGTTACTATACCGTTTATTTGTAAGTTTGATGAGTAAAGACGATCGTCTTTATCGTCTACCATGGCTTAGACGCTGCCGTTCACGTCCGGGTTGGATCGGGGATTTCCCAAAGGGAAATCAAGGTGCTTTCAAGGTCGCACATTTAAAGGCACAATATGTAATTTTCGCTGCTAGAGGGCACGTATTCAAAATAAACAAAGAGGCAAAGGCGTAATTTGATGACGCCGTGACTGAGTGTGGAATCATGGGAGTTGTTGTCTTCATCCCCACAGCCGATGCAATCCGATGGGACTCAGGCAGAAATCATGTTCATGGATGAGCTAATGATTTATTAACATAGTAGAATGAAGCAGGGTGAGGCTGAAAGCCGTCGAAGCGAAACGAGGCTGCTGAACGAGCGTGACACACGGCTCGAAAGTAGAGGAGCTTTTATTATGCCACAGTCGAGCACTTCCGTTCCTTCCGGTCGTGAGTATGTGGGGAAAAAAAGCAGCGCTGTTTTATCATACTAGATACATTTGAAAGTTCTCTTATAATGCTACTCTGTGCGGGCGTCACCGGTCTATTAAATCACACAACAGAAATCGAGGGGTTATGACGTCACTGGCAGGCGACACAATGACACTATAGACACGCTCCGTGTCACTAGTTAAAATTGCTTATTTCTCTGGATTTAAACATTCTTAGAAACATTTGGGATAATGTAAGTACACAAGTCAGCAAAATATATAACACTGTTCTAGTGGTTTTTGGATATTTAAAAAAAAAAACTTACTTATTGTGCCTTTAAAGGGCTGGAATGAACCAATTGTTTTTTTGTTTTTTTCCCCCAGGTGTGTTCTTTAGACAAATGTACTGAATAAGAAAACATTCCTAACTGTTATTCTTATTAATTGCATTTTCTATATCTGTTTATTTTCTGTTTCAATAGATGTCCTGTTCTTCTTTAAACATGAGATCAACGTTTTTTTTGTTATTTGTTTTTTTTTCTTTATGCTATCTGGCTACAGAGTTGGTTTAGTCCAGTTCCTATTCTGGCGTGAGTTTAGAGTATTTAAGCCAGTCCTTCTTAGCCTTTTGGAGAAAGAGGGGTCAGTGAGTTAAACTGAATGTTACATTTATGCTGTTTAAGCAAATTTACTTTGTTCTTCATAAGATAGAACAAGTGTACGCTGGGTAAAGTGTTTGTAAAAAATTTTTTTTGCTCACTTATTTGTAGATATCACCCCCAAATCTTGCTACTTGGACTAATAAAAAAAAAACTCTTTGGATTATCCTGGTTTACGCCTATGCCTTCCTATCACCTCCCTTGGCCCTAAAGGCATACCCTACGACATATTGTAATTTATTCCTGTGATGGCAAAGCTGAATTTTCAGCAGCCATTACTTCAGTCTACAGTGTCACATATAATAGACAGTCATGGTCCTCAATAAATGTACCAATCAGGCCTGTTTATGTGAATACGAAAGTGTCTGTGTTTCTCCTCAGGTAAAGGTGATGTGTTTGGGGACGTGTTCTGGAAGGAGGTGACGCTAGCTCAGGCATGTGCTAATGTGAGAGCGCTAACATACTGTGACCTGCATGTGATCAAACGGGACGCGCTTCAGAAAGTCCTAGAGTTCTACACCGCCTTCTTCAACCACTTCTCACGAAACCTCCTGCTTACGTACAACCTGCGCAAAAGGGTGAGTGAATGCCGTCTGCCGTTCTCTTTCAGTACTCTTTCATTTTCCGCTGGCCCATGTCAAACCACATTTCATGTAAGCAGAATTTCACAGCACCCACATTAACAGGTTACTACATTCAAACTTCACAACACAGCATGAGCACAGCTGGAAATAGATTGTAGCATGCTGAACTCGTGGGAAATTATAAATACAGCTCCTAAAGCTATTGATCAACATGCTCACATACATCACCACATATAGTGAAAATCAGAGTAAATCCAGATGATTTAAGCAGTTTAAGCTTTAAGTATTGAAATACTGATATTGGTTTAATAAATTAAAACATACAGCATTGTAATTAATTCAGTAAATAACTGGTTGACACGCCAATATAGTAGGTGGCAGTATTGCAACTTTAAAGGGTAGTTTACCCAAAAATGAAAATGTTGTTATTATTTACTCATACTCATCATTCCAAACCTGTATGACTTTTTTTTTCTGCAAAACACAAAAGAGAGATATTTTGAAGAATATTGTTAATCAATTAGTTTCAGTTCCCATAGACATTCATTGTATTTGTTGTCTATACAGTGGAAGTCAATGGGAACCGAAACTTCTTGGTTACCAACATTATTCAAAATATCATCTTTTATGTTCTTCCAAAGAAAGAAAGTCAAGTTTGGAATGACATAAGGGGTGAGTAAATGGTGACACAATTTTTGCGTAGACTATTAACATCTTTAATGCTGATTGCCACTGGTCTTAAATACCGGGAAAAAAAGAAGATAGTGTCATGAGCATCTACTACTTCCGCATAAAATCATGATGACAGATGAGACCGGGAGTCCCTACACTTATTTAGAATGTGATTTAATTGGCTAAAAAAGAGAAAACATGAAAGAAAATGAAAGAAAAATCCGATATATCTGATATTGTGAACATAGTAAACCAGAAATCACTTTATATATGCAGTAGAAAAACCCCTCACATGTCTTCTTTTGCAGTTACGCAATGCTTTGCTTGAAAAGGGCCTAATACAATCTGTTAAGAAGAGAGGTTTAAGTGTGTGTACGTTTCAGTGGAAGTGCCAGTACAAACAATTGAGGAAATACTGTGATAATTAACATTTATGTGTGTGAGAGCTGTTAATATATAAAGTATTGCTGAATTGAAGAACTGTGTACCATTCATCTGACTGAAAGTAAAGAGAAAGAGATAAATAGAGCTGCTTTGCCATTCAATCAGAGAGACAGACAGAAAAAGAGAGAAATGGTCTGATCAGAAACACAAATATCACTAACTGGCTTGTTTAATTGGCTAGAAATGACTGAAAGTTGGATTAAGGGATTAAAAGACATGCATGCTCTTTCTAAATCCTTGTTTTTTCAATTCTACGGGCTTTAATTGGAGAGGATAGTATAGAAGTGACAGGAAATGATAAAGACGAAGGAAATTACCCAAGCTGGGTTGCCCACGTATAAACCAGAGAGTGCACACACCACCTGCTAGGCCACATCCCTGACTGTCCCTCATTGTTTTGACTTTCTGAAGAAAAATATAAAATTTCGTTCTCATTTTATCACATCAAATCACATTCAGATGGACTGTAACACTCCATAAACCAGATATTGAAGTGTAGCAATTATCCTACCCATAAATTCCTTCCCAGTTCATAATAAAGACAGCTGTCAGTGTGATAAAATGGCTCTCAGTGTATCTAAATTTTGGATCTCGGCCCTGTGTGAGTTCTGTTTCTCAGTGGAACTGGGTCTGAGGAGGAGGCTAATAATAGCTCAGCGAGCGTCTGCTGCTTTATTGGAACGGCTTACACTGTATAGTTATAGTTATCCATATGGGTTAAATATAACTATCATATACCTCAGCAAACACTTTCATATTGCAGCCAGGCCTAAATCCTTTTACATAATCCATCTGCTGCATAAATATATACTGTTAAACATGTTAATGGCACAGGTGAGAGCTTCACTCAATAGTCTCTCTTTTGAGCTCTTCACGCCTACACTTGTTTGTAATGGACTTGCTTTGTCATGTTTGTGTCACTTGTTAGCTGGATCCTTACCTGAACACTATGGTTTTGTTAGCTATAATAGTCTGTTCTCTTAAACAATACATTTAAATATGAAAACACAAAATATATGAATGCCTCTCTGAAACCGTTGCCAAGTGGGAGCCTTTAATTAGCTCATATCTCCATGAATTAGTCATGATGTTTACCATTTGATTGTGACCCAGATAGAAAAAAAACTGGTTATACATGGAAAAAAATATGTCACAGGAAGACTACATATGTTATATTTCTGGACAAATTGCTTATTCAACAACAGACTTTATACAGTGGTCAAATAGGCCATTTTGGCCTAGATAAAACAGCAGCAGCAGCATACACAGAGTACATATTGCAGTCTATTTGTGACTATTGGACTGTTTTCCTACTTTTAATGTATGCCTGAGTCCTCATTTCTAACCACACAACTCCCAAATGCAATGTTGAGAGTGTTCAGAAGAGTCACTTCTTCCAAAGCCCCACAGAAGTATTACTGTGGTAATCAACATTTAAGAACACAAATCAAGTACTTGAATTAAAGTTCAAATATTCTAAGGAAATATTCCAGAAAAACCAAGTACTCCTTTTGAATTTTACTATAGTAAAATACTTGTAACACTTTAGTATAAAGGTCAGTTCTCACTATTGTAGCGAATCAGCTCAAGGGGAAATATGAATAATTAATCATAACTAGTTATAATTAATTATAAATATTTAGATCAGCTGTAAGTATTTACTTGACCTCTCAGGGTCAACTGTCTGTCAATTCTAAGAACGTTAATTTCCTGGTTAAGGGAAATAACTTCCTTACAGTACAATTCTACACAGAGCCTGTAGCATAAATCTGCATGATTAAGGGACTCTAGTTATGAACAACGTCAAGTGTGATACAAGTAAGACTTTATTAACTACATAAACACTTAAATTAGTCTAACATACACACACACACACACACGCATACAGTTGGTCTAGGAAAAGGAGTTAAAGTGTAGGCAGTAAAAAGAAGAGAAATAAAAATATGAAGCTATTGGTACCATTTGATATTCAGCAGATCTACAGCCTGAAGGAAACATCAGATTCTTAGTTCAAACATACCTTTGTAAAAATGTGCAAATGATAAATGGTTGCAGAAGCGTTCTAGCTTACAACTTCTCAGAATCTAACAGAACCACCGACTAGAGGCGGGTCACTGATGTGAGGCCTTTAAGGTCTGAGAAGATTCACGCCTCTCAAGATGGGCTTGTCCAATGAGAACGGCTGAAATCCCAAGTGGGAGTTTGGAAATACTAGGGAGTTTTATGACCCTTTGTGTGAAAGCATGGTAATTTGCATATGGAACTTGAATTGAAATTACTAATGATTCTAAGAACACTAATATATTGCCTATGCACCAACATATAATATACACTCTCGTTTAGATAATCAGAAGACGAATTCATAGATACTAAACATGGTAGGATTACATATAGGTAAGATGACATGAACGAGTGGTCCTATCATAAGCCTGCATAAAACAGTATACAATATAAGAGACAATATACAAGGACAGTAACAACATACACAATGACCTGAAGGATATGTGTGTTCATTCAAAGAAAGGTTTTCCTATGAATTAATTA